CTCAGACGGTAAAGCGTGTGCCTACAACGCGGGAGACATGGGTTCAATCCCTGGGTCGGGAAGATCTCCTGGAGAAGGAAATGGCAGCCCACTCCAGTATTCTTGCCTGGAAAATCCCATGGACGGAGGAGGCTGGTGGGCTACAGTCCACAGGCTCGCAAAGAGTCGGACACGACTGAGTGACTTCACTTTAATCCTGGGGTAGAGGCCCCTTGCCTGCCTGCTTGCATCTTTCACAAGCATCCTCTATTATAAAGCTACATCTTGCTTACCACTTTGCCTCTCATTGAATTCCTTCTGCACTGAGACACGAAGAACCTGAGCCTCAGTAAGTCCAGACACCAGGTGAGTGATTCTGATTAAAAGACTGCGGGTTCAAGTCCCAATCTGAGTTTAGGCTGGGTGTGAGTCTGGGCACATAGGTTCAAGTCCAAATCAGAAGTGCATGGTTCACTGTCAAACTCTGAAGTATTTGGTTTAATTCAGATTTGACTACAACAGTGGCTTTCGGTTTTGTCTGAGACTCTCGGTCACAGCCGCATAGCTTACTATGTACCAAACCCTATTCTGAGCATCCTATAAATACTATCTCATTGAATCTTCATAATAATCACAATACGATAAATACCATTCTTTTTCCTTTACGGATGAGAACACCGAAACCAAACAGTTATATATCTTCCCCAAAGTCACAGAGAGCAGTAAGTAATTAGTTGAGCCAGGATTGAACTTCAGGCCATCTGGCTCCAGAGTCTATTCTCTTAACACTTTGCTCTGTTGACTCAGATGTATAGAACAGACTTGTGGACTCTGTGGGAGAAGGCGAGGGTGGGATGATTCAAGAGAACAGCATCGAAACATGTATATTATCTAGGGTGAAACATCACCAGCCCAGGTTGGGTGCATGAGACAAGTGCTCGGGCCTGGTGCACTGGGAAGACCCAGAGGGGTCAGGTGGAGAGGGAGGTGGGAGGGGGGACCGGGATGGGGAATACATGTAAATCCATGGCTAATTCATTTCAATGTATGACAAAAACCACTGCAATGATGTAAAGTAATTAGCCTCCAACTAATAAAAATAAATGGAAAAAATTAAAAAATTTTAAAAAATTTTTAAAAAATGAAAAAGGAAGCCACAAACTTGAAGAAACTGAAAAAAAAAAAAAAAGAATGGCTACCTGGTTCAGAATAAATTATGTGCCAGGCAAAAAAAAAAACACTTTGCTCTGTTGCCTCTCAAATAACCACGTACAAGTAGGCCATACATCCACCACACATACACTCCTCCACAGCATCTACCTGCCTACAGAAAACTGAAATAAAAGCTTCACTGGAATACTTACCCAGAAGAATGTCCTATAGTATTTGCTGTAAATAGCCCCTTCCCTGGTGCAACAGTAGTAAAAAAAAAATCTGCCTGCAATGCAGGAGACACAGCTTCGATCCCTGGGTCAGGAAGATCCCTTGCACGAGGAAATGGCAACCCACTCCAGTATTCTTTCCTGGGAAATCCCATGGACAGAGGAGCCTGGCAGGTTACAGTCCATGGCGTTGGAAAAGAGTCAGACTTTAAACAATTTGCTACAAATGTTCTATATGTAATATTTTAATGTTAACATGACCCTTTAAATTGATTAGACAACAAAATAACTCCTTGACTCACTGATAGATAGTGGTGCACAACTTATAAAACACAAGATTGAAATAGCAAAACTCTTCCCCAGTTGGTCAGAATTTCCTTTATTCTGCTTAGTTGCTGATGAAGCAAGTAACCTGGATAACACTGAATGGATTTTAGAAAGTTTAATGATCTTAAACAAAATAGAGCTGACTATTTGAAAATGAGGGCTCTTCTTACATGGATCAACATAATTCTTTTTTCCTGAGTAGATTTAGGAGCAGGATTGAAATAGCCTGCCCCAGTGTCATATCCACTCTTAGGACACAACTCAAATCCAACATTCTCATAAGTCTTTCTTAACCACTGAAATCAATCTCCCTCTCCCTTGGGGCTTCCCAGGAGGCTCAGTGATAAAAGAATCCACCTGCCAATGCAGGAGACTCAAGAGATCCCTGGGTCAGGAAGATCCCCTGGGGTAGTAAATGGCAACCCCCTCAAGTATTCTTGCCTGGAAAATTTCATGGAGCCTGGCTGGCTACAGTCCATGGGGTCACAAAAAGTCAGACATGACTGAACACACACGTACATGCAAATATTTGCTTCTTTCCTCCAGGGTAACTTACTGGTCTGACTGTAGATTGCTAAGGAGATGCCTTTTTCTTTACTTCATATTCCTCACCAGGCCTTGAATATAGGATGCATAATAACATTTACTGAATTGGATTAAATAGAATTGATGTGCTGCGCTTAATTGCTCAGCCATATCTGACTCTTAGCAACCCCATGGACTGCAGACTGCCAGGCTCTTCTGTCCGTGGGGATTCTCCAGGCAGAATATAGGAGTGGGTTGCCATGCCCTCCTCCAGAAACAGGATTGATAGTAATTCCTTAATAGTATTTAGTAGAAAGGAAAAAAAGACACTAAAAGAGTCTGTAAAAGACAGCTAAATTGATCAGAAGCATTTGATCTGAGAAATAAAACAGGGTGGGAATTCCCTGGTGCAATGGTTAGGACTCAGTACTTCTCACTGTTCCAGGTCAAGTCCTGCAAGCCTCATAGTTGTGGCCAAAACAAGCAAAAACAAACCAAAAAAAAAAAAAAAACCCAAAACAGTGTAGGACTAGGGACTGTCTTTTTGTTATCTTTCCTGTTGAACCATTTCAAACCAGACATATTCATTACTTTGAATTCATAGATTCAATACTTACTAAAGAAAAAAGATCCAGTTGGATAAGCTAACATCTAAATTCCTCCAGCTCTAAAATTCAGACTTCAGAGCCAGGAGTGAAGGCTTCCATACCAGAATGACAAGATAGCTATTGGAAGTACCTCCTTCATCACAACCTAGTCATCATTTCTGCACAGTCCTCCGCATATTCTTTAAAGTAACAGGGAACTTTCTTCACTGACCTGTGTAATTACTAAGTTTCATGGCCTTTTGTTTTGAATCCATTAGAACTACTTGAGAAATAGCTGGTATGAGAATACTCTCCTTTCTGTCTTCCTGAAAGCAAGACATAAATCTCCCCTGTGAAAGGTACTGTATAATCATAGACTTGGATTTGGCAGCTACAACAAAAAAACCACAGAGACTTCAGAATTTTCAGGAAATCTATAATGGAATTCTACATTGTGGAATTGTCACTTTATCCCCCATAACAGTGTAGGGGCTGTTTAAATAAGAGGGAGAAATGAATGTGAATTATTTGTGAACTTCCATTATCTGTGATCTCCCTGCCTCTTAAATATAAAGGGTGACCATTAGTGACCCACGTGACAGAAGTGTCTTTCCAAGCGCCCTAGTGTCTCACAAAAAGCCCCAGTTCATCTACGGTTAAGAACTGAATTGAGGGGCTTCTCTGGTGGCTCAGTGGTAAAGAACCCGTCTGCCAATGCAGGAGACACGGGTTTGATCCCTGATCGGGGAAGATCCCACATGTCTCAGAGCAACTAAGCCAGCGTGCCGCAACTATTGCAGCTGAGCTTTAGAGCCAGGAGCCGCAGCTACTGAAGCCCACTCACCCGAGAGCCCGTCCCCAACAAGAGGAGCCACCCCGACGAGAAGCTCAGGCCCTGCCACTAGAGAAAAACCCACCCAGCAACGAAGACCCAGTGCAGCCAAGAACAAATAAATAAAAATTAATTATTTTTAGAAAAAAAGAGCTGAAGTGAAGAGAACTAATGAGAACCTACCGTATGGCTCAGGGAATCCTACTCCGTGCTCTGTGGTAACCTAAATGGGAAGGAAATCCAAAACAGAGCGGACATATGTACACCGAGACCTGATTCACTTTGCCGTACAGTGGAAACCAACACATCGTAAAGCAAATGTTCTCCAATAAAAATTAATTTTTAAAAAAAGAACTGAAAAAAAAAAAAGAACTGAATTTCTTAAAATACATATAAGGGACATTTATTAAGCTCTTCCTTCACACGAGACCAGAGTTGGGGCTTTTATTTTAATAAACAATATGTAAGATTTTTGTTTACATCACCACTTATATATTGAATACTTACACACATCAGCTACTGAACAAGATTACATAGGTAATCTTTAGGCAAGGTGATCTTCTTCCCACTTTATTATTTATCTGGGGGGCAATGATGTTTTTAACCTGGATAAAGATACAATAACTAAAGCATAATATATGTTTATTGCAAGTTCTAATAAATGGAGTGGAAAAAAAAACTTATCCAAATCCTGTTCTTCCTTGTGGAAACAGTCTCCCCGGATATGATCAGAATTTTCCTGGGGCTTGATTATTGCTGCCCTTGAAAGGACAAAACTTCCCCCTCCTCCAGAAACCATGCAGAGCTCAAACTGAAATCTGATACAGCATCCTTTTCTCAGCCAGCGAGAACAATTGGCCTTCTCCCGAGGTTCCTTTTAGACAAGAAACGACATCCGCATCCCTTAACCAGGGTGGGGGAACCATCAAGTTTCAGGAAAGCCTCTGGACTGAGCACACTGCCAGTTAGCCTTGTAACTTTAAAAGGAATTGATCACATTTACCAAAACAAGTGGCAACTAACCCTCCAAGGTCGGCCCGCGAGACCATGAGAAAGTGAGGAAAAGATGAGCCTCGCAGCGCACCCTCAACTAGAAAGCTTCCCCACCCCCGCGGCTGGGTTTTGGTCCCTCCCAGATTTCTGAGCTGACGAGCTGTCGTTCCGCACTGCAGCCTGAGCCAATTGCCAAAGACCTAGCCAAGCCCAGCCCAGCGGAAGGAACGGTTTCGGAGTTGTTTCTCTGCGATAAAGGAGCATTTCCTTGTTCTCGCTTTTATATGCGCCACTCTTTGACTGAACAATTTTCCAGAAGCAATTTAGAGTGACTGGTAAAGCGAAATATACCCAAAGCTCGCAGCAGCAAAAAAAATGATCAAATTCCTTCTGTCCGTCTTCCTGCTTCTGCCCTTTTTGCCCGTCTGCATCGTAGAGTCTCTCCTGAAGCTTTTTATTCCTAAGAAGAGAAAATCAGTCACCGGAGAGATCGTCCTGATTACCGGAGCTGGACACGGAATTGGCAGGCAGACTGCCTATGAATTTGCCAAACTTAAGTGCAAGCTGGTCCTGTGGGATATAAATAAGGTAATAGTGCTTACTGTTTTTTACTTTCTAGTACCTTTCATCTGTGTTGCATTTTGCTGGCAACAGCCCCTTACAGCATCTCTGTTAAGTAAGTAGGAAAAAAATTACTAGTATTGCCATTTTATAGAAGGGGGAAAAACATGCATCAATTAATCTGTTGGTGTTCACACTAGTGGCTCAGATGGTAAAGCGTCTGCCTACAATGCAGGAGACCTGGGTTCAATCCCTAGATCAGGAAGATCCCCTGGAGAAGGCAACCCACTCCAGTCCTCTTGCTTGGAAAATTCCATGGACAGAGGAGCCTGGTAGGCTGCAGTCCATGGGGTCGCAGAGTCGGACACGACTGAGCGACTTCACTTTCACTTTTTTCACATGATAAGGAACCTAGAGGATGTAAGGTTTCCAGTTATTGCTTATCACTAATTTGACATTGTCAATTTATCTTCAGTTCAGTTCAGTTGCTCAGTCGTGTCCAGCTCTTTGAACCTGATTTCACTAATCCCTCTGGCTTCTATTTTTTGACTGCTGAGCAGCATGTGGGATCTTCCCCAACCAGGGATCAAACCTGTGCCTTCTACATCGGGAGGGTAGAGTCTTAAATCTTATCCTGTAGGAAAGTCATAGCTTTAGCTAGTGTGTTAAAAAAGAGGTTTGCACCTATTAAGAGAAAAATCTTGCAGCTACTGAGATAAGTACATTTAAAAGATACCCAACAGAAAGCAATATTACTTTGTCATAGTAATTTCCAAGAGAAATTTTTAAATCACCTTTTAGTTAAAAGCAATGGGGGGAAAAAAAAAAACTTTCAAAGTAATTCCCAGAATAGGTGTACCCTGAGGAAGGGAGATGAACTTATTATTTGACCAGTGTTGGATGGACAGAGGGGCTTGGGGGAGCCACACGATGCCAAGAAACACCATCCCTTACACAACATCCAATGGTATAAACGAGAATTCAGGGGGCTGAGGTTGGCTGAGAGCTAACCTGGCTTCCCTGGGTGACTCAGAGGGAAAGAATCCACCTGAAATGCAGTAGCCGCAGGAGATATGGGTTCAGTCCCTGAGTGGGGAATATCCCTTGGAGCAGGGCATGGCAACCCACCCCAATATTCTTGCCTAGAGAATTCCATGGACAGAGGAGCCTGGCAGGCTACAGCATTTAGGGTCGAAAAGAATCTAACACAACTGAAGCAACTTAATTCACATGTGCGAGAGCTACCCAGTGAATGGGTGATTGAGATGCCATCAACAGATACCCTTCACTGTCTGTTGCCCAAATGTTAAGAACACAGTGGCAAACAAGAGATAGAGTCCCGTGCTCTCAATCTCTGAGGGAAATAAGCATAAATAATTACATGTCAGCGAAAGGTAGAAACTAGGCCCAGCCTCCTCTGGACGTGGTCACAGCAGTAAGTGGCAGGCAGAGTGGTGTGGTCAGATGAACTCCACACTTCATGGCTAACTTACTCAGCATCGCGCGTAGCTTCCTGGAGCCTTAGTTTCCTTTACTGCAAAATCCATAAGATAAGCGTACTTTCCTCAGAGGGATGGGAAATGAATAACTCACACAAAGCATGTAGTGGTATCTGCCATGTGGTAAACACACCAAGTGTTAGTTATTATTATTCCTTCACAAAATGAAGTTTAAGCGAAAGTTCAATGGTGTGTGAGTTTGGTTATGCGTCTAGATTCGTGACTCCCAGAGCCCAATGCTAGTTTGTACAAACTTTTTTCTGATCTGGAGTGAAATACACTTGGTGGTGGTTTAGTTGCTAAGTCTTGTCCGACTCTTTCGACCACGCGGACTGTAGCCTGCCAGGCTTCTCTGTCCATGGGATTCTACAGGCAAGAATACCGGAGTGGGTTGCCATTTCCTTCTCCATTACTCAACAAATACTTATTGAGCACCTACTATCTGCCAGAAACTTCTAATGCAGAACTGAGGATACAGCAGTAAGGAAAATGTTATGAGCTAGGGACAATAAACAGTATATACTAAAATGTGTAATTGTTGGATGTTGTTAAGTATAATTGAAAAATAAAACATGAAAGGGGATAGGGACTCTGCCTATACTGTGGGGATGGCAGAGGTGGGAGTGTTGATCTTGTACAGAAGGCCTCACTAAGATGGAGGCAGTTGAGTCAAAGTCAGAAGAGGCTGAGGGTACAGTGAGTCCCTGGCTTATCTCTGCAGAGAGGGATCCACAAAGTTCCCTGGCACAGAAGGGAGAGAAGTGAAAGAAAGCTCTGTGTTACTATTGTTCGGGTGCAGTAGTAGAGATTAGCCACCAGCCACTTGTGGCTGTGTAGTGTTTGAAATATGACTTGGCAGAATTAGAATGTGCTCGAGGTATGAATGGCTTCCCTGGTGGCTCAGATGTTAAAGAATCTGCCTGTAATACAGGAGACTAGGGTTTAATCCCTGGGTCGGGAAGATTCCCTGAAGAAGGAAATGGCAACCTGCTCCATTATTCTTGCCTGAAGAATTCCGTGGACAGAGGAGCCTGGTGGGGTGCAATCTATGGGGTCGCAGAGTCAGACATGACTGAGCAACTAACACTTATGCTTGCTTATAGATATAAATACTCATGGAATTTCAAAGGCTTTCTTATTAATTACTTTTATATGGATTGCATGTTGAAATGATTATATTTCCTAATAATAAATATTTCAAAACAATAATATTTTGGGCATAGTAAGTTATATAAAGGGGCTCTCCTGGTGGCTCAGATGGTAAAAGTGTCTGCCTGCATTATGGGGGACCTGGGTTTGATCCCTGGGTCAGGAAGACCCCCTGGAGAAGGAAATGGCAACCCACTCTGGTACTCTTGCCTGGAAAATCCCATGGATGGAGGAGCCTGATAGCCTACAGTTCATGGGGTTGCAAAGTTATATAAAATGTACTAAACTAAAAAAATTTTAATATGCTACTAGAACAGTTAAAATTAAATATATGTGGCTCACATTATATTTCTGTGGGATGGCTCTGGCATAGAAACTAAAGGAACAGCAGCTCCAATCATGAAGGTTCCTGTAGGCTGTTTGTGCTTCAGTTTTTACTAGGGAAACCAGTGGAGGGTTTGGAACCAGTTTCTATGAAGAGGTCCCTCGGGCTGCTGGGTTGCAGGGAAAGCAGATAGGAGACTATTGTGATAATCCAGGTAAGAGATGGGCTTGCCTGGTGGCTCAGCTGGTAAAGAACCCACCTGCAATGTAGGAGACCTGGCTTCGAGCCCCTGGGTTGGGAAGATCCCCTGGAGAAGGGAACCACTACTCATTCCAGTATTTTGGCCTGGAGAATTCCATGGACTACATAGTCCATGGGGTCGCAAAGAGTCGGACATGACTGAACAACTTTGACTTCACTTCAGGTAAAAGATAGAGACCCGGCTAGTAGTAGAAGTGGTCAGAAAATTAAGGATAATATAGGGAGCATGTATTATGTGAAATTCATTTAAGTTAAATAATTTTATCTTCTACTTTGAGATGATGTTCTTCCTACTCTTTGGTGGATTATATGTATAGATATAAATCTATTGTTCAGTTGCTCAGTCATGTCCAACTCTTTGCAACCCCATAGACTGCAGCACTCCAGGCCTCCCTCTCCTTCACCATCTCCCGGGGCTTGCTCAAACTCATCCACTGAGTCGAGGATGCCATCCAACCATCTCGTCCTCTGTCATCCCCTTCTATCTATATATATCTATTTATTTAATGAAATTACAGTGATAGTAAATATAAATAGCTGCTGTGTTAGTTTTTAACATCCTTAATTGGCTAAATAAAAGTTTGGCAGTCCTAGTTCTGTATATTAAGTCAGTTCAGTTCAGTTAAGTTCAGTCTCTCAGTCATGTCTGACTCTTTGCGACCCCATGAATTGTAGCACGCCAGGCCTCCCTGTCCATCACCAACTCCCAGAGTCGACTCAAACTCATGCCCATTGAGTCGGTGATGCCATCCAGCCATCTCATCCTCTGTCGTCCCCTCCTCCTCCTGCCCCCAACCCCTCCCAGCATCAGGGTCTTTTCCAATGAGTCAACTCTTCGCATGAGGTGGCCAAAGTACTGGAGTTTCAGCTTCAGCATCAGTCTTTCCAATGAACACCCAGGACTGATCTCCTTTAGGATGGACTGGTTGGATCTCCTTGCAAATATCCAACCTATTGGATCTCTATTTCCACCTATTCTCCTTCCCCAGTCAGGTTTAGTGGTTTTTAGACTTTTTACAATCTGTAAGCTCCATGAAAAGTAGATGGGTGAATATACAGCATATTAAAAAGCAGAGACATCACTTTGCCAACAAAGATCTTTATAGTCAAAACTATAGTTTTTCCAGTGGTCATATACAGATGTGAAAGTTGGACTGTAAAGAAGGTTGAGCACCAAAAAATTGATGCTTTCGAACTCTGGTCCTGGAGAAGACTCTTGAGAGTCCCTTGGACTCCAGTATTCTTGCCTGGAGAGCCCCATGGACAGAAGAACCTGGCAGGCTACAATCCATGGGGTCACAAGTCAGACACGACTGAAGTGACTTAGCATGCACATGGAATACACACATACATAGAGTCACAGAGTATGACAGAACTATGGAAAGCAACTATACTCCCGTAAAAATTAATTTTAAAAAAGCATGTGAAATTCATGAATACACGCTCAGTATTTTAAGACTTTTGTCTTCTTTTAAAAGCTTGCCTTCAATTCAGTTCCAAATAAGAGAAATTCGTTGTAGTACAGAGAGTGAAGTGTGCCTATATCCCTGTCAAAAATGCATTAGTTAAATTCTTGTCCATTCCTAGACCCGAGAATCTCAATACCCTTAGCTGTTTTCAGCTGTGTGTATTATCTGCTCATGTCATTTATCTTGTTCTCCTTGCCCTTCGTTGCTTTTTGCAGCATGGAGTTGAGGAAACAGCCGCCGAATGCAAGAGACTGGGCGCGAAGGCTCATGCCTTTGTGGTAGACTGCAGTAACCGAGAAGATATTTACAGTTCTGCAAAGAAGGTAAACTTCTTTTAAATTTGGTTCCAATCGTATTGTGCCAAAACTGGGGAGGATTTGGAGATGACCCATCTATAATGTAGGCAAAGTAAACAGAAGTTTTGTGGTTCCTCCAAGGTTGTCCAGCTAGCCAGTGGCAGACCCTGAACTTGAAACTGAGGCTCCCAGACTGTAGTGTATTCTGGAGTTTTCCGGGGAACTTGGTTAACTAATTACTGTAATGGTAGAAAGGTCATTTGGACCTGGGAAAATTCTTTAAAATACACATGCCTGGACCTCACCTCTAGATACTCGATTCAATTAAACTCTCAGCCTGCTTTCATTATTAAGAAATGTGAAAGCCCTAGGGTGGGATATTATGTGATGATGAAGAGCTGAAGGATGAAGATAAGGTCAGGAGTGTCATTGGCAATATAAAGCAGTAATTCATATCTTGTCCCTGATGTGTGCGCGTGCTCGGTCATGTCTGACTCGACGACGCTCTGGACTATAGCCTGCCAGGCTCCTCTGTCCATGGGATTTCCCAGGACAGAATACTGGAGTGGGTTGCCATTTCCTTTTCCAAGGGATCTTTCTGACCCGGGGATCAAACCTGGGTCTCCTGCATTGCAGGCAGATTCTTTTTTTTTTTGAAGGCAGATTCTTTACTGTCCAAGCCATGAGGGAAGTCATGAATTTATATCTTGAGTCCTGTTACTTTGGAGGCATAATGGCAGCTTCATCAGTTCAACCACACAAAATGTCCTCTTTCTCTCAAGAACTTAGGGGCATTTTTCTGAACAACAGTTTTTATGTTGTGCTAGAGATGAGGATACAGGTACACATAGTGTTTGTCAAGGGCCAGACCACTCAGCTTGACCACCCAGTAATTTACATACAACCTGATGAAATTAATTTCTGACTGCTGAGCGTTTAGCAGTGACACATTCATGCCCTTCTGATGTGCTGACCAGCCTTCACTCCGACTTCCTTTCTGTCTGAAGTGGCATGTCTTGGGCTCTGAGGTCAGAGAATCTGGGAGAGTTTCATCTCCATGTGACCTTAGATATCCACGTGACCTTGGGCAAGAAACAGCCCTTCTGTGTTTCATGTTTCTGACCTTTAAAATGAGCATGTAAGAATTACTACTTCATAGAATGGTGAGAATTAAATGGGATAAATAATGCAATCGTGTAAAATGCATAGCATAGTGAAAGGCTTTAATGGGCTACATACCACCTCTCCTTCAGTCCCCCAGCTGCTGGGGGCGGCTACTGGTCCATGACCTGTTAGGAACCAGGCTGCATGGGAGGTGAGCAGTGGTTGAGCAAGTGAAGCTTCATCTGTATTTACAGCTACTCCCCATTGCTTGCATGACCACCTGAACTCCGCCTCCTATCAGATCAGCAGTGGCATTAGATTCTCATTCTCATTAGATTCTCCCACTGTGAATTGTTGTTTATCTGTCACTGGTTAGGTTTTTGTCAGACAAATGCCTCTTGGGTTCTAATCAATAGAGAGCAAAGTCAAGAGACTGAATTGCAAAAGAAAATTTCTACCTATTAGATTTATAGGCGGGGTGTTTTGAAGTTAAGGACTTAAAAAATCTTTTTTTCCCACTTGACACACAGGTTACAAAACTACTTTTTTTTCACGTCTAAGAGAAAGAGTTATATTTCGTTAACAGTCATTGCATGCAGACCTATTCCCAGACCTCTAAATGTTGCAAATATTTTAATTTTATTTTTGAAGGTGAAGGCAGAAGTTGGAGATGTTAGTATTTTAGTAAATAATGCTGGTGTAGTCTACACATCAGATTTGTTCGCTACACAAGACCCTCAGATTGAAAAGACTTTTGAAGTTAATATCCTTGCACATTTCTGGGTAAGTATGATTTCTTTTACCAAAAACATTCCCTTTTGTGTAACCCAAGGATTAAGTTTAAAGTGAAGCTTTCTTTTTTTTTTTTTCCATTTATTTTTATTAGTTGGAGGCTAATTACTTTACAACATTGCAGTGGTTTTTGTCATACATTGAAATGAATTAGCCATGGATTTACATGTATTCCCCATCCCAGTCCCCCCTCCCACCTCCCTCTCCACCCGATCCCTCTGGGTCTTCCCAGTGCACCAGGCCTAAAGTGAAGCTTTCAGCAGACATAAGGTTGAATCAGATCAATTTTCTCCAGATAGATACTGAGAATAACATTATACAAAGAAATCATTTTACATCCTGTGACCAAATCCTATCAATCATTCTTCCCTTCCCTCAAAAAATATGAGTAATATGAATTAATAATAAGAATAAACTTTAGGTGTTATATATGTTTTAATTCTAAGCTAGATTTTTACATTTCTGTGTGATCTGTTCAGAGATGAGGGAGGGGTTAGAGATTATTAGAGTCATTTTCTGTGATTCTATAAAAGGTGAACCCAGTTTACCTGTTTACTTTCAGAGTCTCACAAGACTTAGGCCTTATATTATTTCCTGGTTCCAAAATTGCAAACTTTATTAGGAACTTCACCATTCAAGATCTTAAATGGTGAGAGAGAGAGAGAGAATGAGAGAGAGAGTCTAAATGTTGGTCAAATAGCCATTACATAAAAGATTTCTTAAAGATTTCTTGGATGTGAGTTTGGGATGAGTAATCTCAGAATATAAATTGGTATAGTCACTGTAGAGAATAGTATGTAACTGCCTTAAGAAACAAAAAAGAGAGCTACCATATGACCCAGCCATCCCACTCCCAGGTACACGTGCAGAAAAAATGAAAACTCTAATTTGGAAAGGTACATACACCCCAGTGTTCATAGAAGCATTACAATAGCCAAGACATGGAAACAACCGAAGTGCCCATCAACATATAATTGAGACTTAGAAGGTGTAGTAAATATGTATACAATGGAAATGTACTCAGCCATAGAAAGAATGAAATATTTCCATTTGCAACAACATGGATGGACCTAAAGAATATATTGAGTGAAGTAGATCAGATGGAGAGAGACAGATATATGATACCGTTTACATATGGAAAATGAAAAATGATACAAATTATATACAAAACGGAAACAGACGCACAGACACAGAAAAACTTATGGTTACCAAAGGGGAGAGGGAAGGGAAAGAGACAAATTAGGAGTCTGGGATTAACAAACTGCTAGGCATAAAACAGATAAGCAACAAGGATCTACTGTATAGCACAGGGAATTATATTTATTACCTCATAATAACCCATAATGGAAAATAATATGAATATATATATGTATATAAAACTGAATCACTTTGCTCTGCACCTGAAACTAATACAGTATTGTAAATCAACTTTACTTTAGTTTAAAAGAAGGGATATTGGGATTGCTGAAAATGCAGTATTGTTTCATTTTATTAGCTCCAAGTTATTGACATCCATTTTTCATATTTTTATGCCTTAAAAGTTTGTGTCTTTCTGCCACTCTGAAAATGTATTTTTTTCTGAATCCCCAGCATAGAGTAGGTGCTCAATAAATATTTATTGTATAAAATCATTCAGTGACTGTTGCAAGGTTTTTGTCACTTCAGTATTTTGATGACATAACCAAACTCTTTTCTAACAATTAAAATGTTTAATAACTCTAGTTATTATACTTGTTCAATATATGAGATGAGAGAAGGCGTCAATGATGGAAGCTGGAGGAACTGGAGACATACGAAATTAACAACTTAATTGAGATGGATTCTCAAAGCTTTCAGTGTTCATTGTTTCACTGAGCTTTTCTAATCTGGGCATCCTATCTGCATTGTGTTGCCACATTTGTTTTTTTTCTTTTATGAAGATTAATCTAGGTTTTTTTCACTGATGAAATGTTATGAACAATGTCAACAAAATACACCTTCATTTTGAAATATTCCCACTGGGTTTACAAATCAGAAATAATTTTTTTTCTCTTAATAAAAACATTTCTAGACTACAAAGGCATTTCTTCCCGAGATGATGAAGAGTAATCATGGCCATATTGTCACTGTGGCTTCAGCAGCTGGGCATACTGGGGTCCCCTTCTTACTGGCTTACTGGTATGTAAACATGTGTTTTTTTCATTGGTTCCTGTGCTTAACTTGAGTGTGATTTCTTGAGTGTAATGACTATTGTTAACAATGATAGGCTTTCCTGGTGTCTCAGATGGTAAAGAATCTTCCTGCAGTGCAGGAGACCTGATTTCAATCTCTGGGTCGGGAAGATCCCCTGGAAAAGAGAATGGCAACCCACTCTAGTATTCTTGCTTGGAGAATTCCATGGACAGAGGAGCCTGGCAGTCTTCAGTCCATGGGGGTCACAAAAGAGTCAGACACAACTGAGCAAGTAACACACAGACTTCCAGTGTTGCTGAAATAAGCAGAAAAAGTTGCAGAACGTCTCTTGCACAACAACCTTATCAATCATTAATCCTCTCCTAGGCTGATGATTTGAGAGGTGGCTACAGGGAAATTATCCAATAGGAAGCCAAGTGCTTCAAGCATTTCGCATCCCTTTTAGCAGCAAGGAATTAAAACGAGGGCAGGATTTTTGCAAGATGAAAAAAGTTAATATTAATCATTTTAATAAAGTAATTTTGTGGAAACTAACCATTATAAAGAGAATATAATCTGGGATTCCAAATTAAAAACATCCAGACAATGAAATTGTTGTAAAAATGAATTTTAATAGTTCTTCTAAAAACCCATGCTATTATAATAACTAAGAAGTTACTGTAACAAGTAGGGCACAGTAATGGTGTGGAGAATTAATCAGTGAGGTCATGATAGCCATGGTCATCCTACTGGTTGCAGGCACCCTGTTAGTTGTTTGCTGTTTCTGTATGTTAGCAAATTATCACCCTTTAATGTTGAATTATGACTATGCAGGTAAATAGATATTGCTCAAATTTGTTTTCTACCGAATAAATGTGCTCTTTTGGAATTAAGTATCTAAATTTTAGAAGTAACACAGATGTAGTTGTAAATGTAGCCATCGATATGTCTGTAAATATGGGATTTCCCTGATAGCTCAGTTGGCAAAGAATCCACCTGCAATGCAGGAAACCCTGGTTCAATTCCTGGGTTGGGAAGATCTGATGGAGAAGGGATAGGCTACCCACTTCAGTATTCTTGGGCTCCCCTGTGGCTCACCTGGTAAAGAATCCACCCACAATGCGGGAGACCTGGGTTCGATCCCTGAGTTGGAAAGATCCCCTGGAGAAAGGAAAGGCTACCCACTCCCTGGAGAATTTCAGGGACTGTGTAGTCCATGGGGGTCACAAAGAGTCAGACATGACTGAACGACTTTCAATTCACTTCACTTCATGTTGGTCCTTTAATGGACCGGAACCTGGTGGTCCAGAGAGTAAGAGAGAGAAAGAGGCTGCTATCCCCTGCTTTACGGGAAAGGCAATAGAGCCCTGTTGTCAGGGCTCGCGCTGCCGCACGTGGGCACCAGGCGCCCTCTCGAGTGGGTGAAGGCACGGTGCGCCTTCTCGAGAGTGTCTTAGAAGCCCGGGCAAGAAATTGAGCTCAGCGGGCCTCCGCGCTCCAAGGAATTAGCCAGAAATAGACAAATAGAGAAAGACAGAAAGAATAGAAAGAAAGAAAGACATGGGGACCCAAGCTCTGATGGAGCAAAGGTGTTTTAATCTACATGGCGTGGGCATATATACTGTAGTTATTCTCAGCAAAGACAAAGATTAAAATTCCAGACTTTACAAAACATAAGATGACCCCTATCAAAGAGAGAGTTGCAAACAATCACCTTTTACTGTATGGCTCATAAAAAGGAAGAGGGTACTTATCACCGTAATGAGAAATGCCTGGATTCCTCAGCCCTGGGAAAGGGGAAAGGCGTGCCTCTCCTCTTAATTCCTGAATATTCAGGAATCAATAAGGACCAGAGGGTTCCTGACAGATCCAGAACAGCACACAGGAAGCCTCTTGTTAAATGCTTCCTGACAACTTCAGGCTCTGGTGGATAACTTATTTTCTTATGACATATAAACATATGAGCTTCGCAGCAGAACCTGCTGCTTTCAGGTTCTGAAAGCAAGAGAGTGCTTATCTTTCATCAAGAGAGTGATATACACACAAAAATCAAATTAGTGTTGAGGGGCTAATTACTTCAAAAGAAACAGTGTGCAGTCTAGGCACAATAGGTCTGTCCTGTGACTGCTTTAGCAGTATTTCATCTTTTTTTAAAAAACTCAAGTCAAGGCTATATTTATTTCTAAAACTATTCGAAAATAAATATATACCAAGAGAGAAAGAAAGAAAATGTAGATGAACAAAAAGAACAAAATAAAAATGACTTCTCTTGCCATTACCTAAGAACAACTAACCAGTCTGTGGATATGGTTAGACTAACTTTGCAAATTTGTTTGTTCTTTTTGTTCATCTATAAACTCTAGCTGGTGTATTTTGTCAATTCAAATAGCCAATTTATAAGCATGAAAGTTACCAGTATGGGAAGACATGCCAAAATTGAGCACTAAGCATTACCTTGTAATGAAATATTATCCAAAAGAATAATTTGGAATAAGAAAATATTATTGAGGTTATTATTCAATTTAGTGGGCTTTCCTGCTAGCTCAGATGATAAAGAAACTGCCTGCAGTGCAGGAGACCTGGGTTCAATCCCTGGGTCAGGAAGATCCATTGGAGAAGGGAATGGCTACCCACTGCAGTATTCTTGCCTGGAGAATTCCAAGGACAGAGGAGCCTGTCGGGCTACAGTCCATGGGGTCACAGAGTCAGACACGATTGAGTAAATAATGCTTTCATACACACAAAGTGCAGTAAAAAAATCCACTCACGTTAGCTTTGATATATACATGTATATATATATTTAAAAACAAATTCACTCTGAAGTTCAAAAATATAAAATTCCTTCAACATACTCAAGATCATTAACTATGAGTTTTAATATATTTCTGTACTTTTGGTTCATTTCAGAAAATCAGAAAAAACAGTTTAGTTGAAGAAAAAACAAGATTATTTATTGGTAATCTCACCACACAGAAATAACCATGATGAGCATTTCTTATCATTTTTTAGGACATTTTTAATGTAGAAATACAGTCATACTTTGAAAAAGATATACATATATAATTTTTTTTATTTAAAGTGAACATTTTGCATGTTAAATATATATATGCAACATCATTTTCAGTTTTTGCTGGATAATTTATTTTTCCAGATTCTTTCAGTTGCAAGGAACACAAAGCTTAAACTGCCTCAGACCAGAAGAGATGTCTTAGGCAGGCTTTCTGTTGCTAAGATGGCCACCAGCCCTGCTGGAATAATATCTTCTCAACTCCCAAGTATAGCAGCAGTGGGTCCTAGTTCTGGAGTTCACAAGTGTCCTAGTTCTGGAGTTCACTCTTAACTAGACAAACTTGAATCCAACTGCTGTACTGGGGTGTAAGCCAGCAAAACCAAAGCCACCTTAGCAAAATGAGGGAATATGAATGCTGACAGAGGCAAAAACAGCCTCTGTCCACTACAGACATTTTCAGCTCTTTCCAACCATTTGCCTTCATGAACTGGATACCCCAGGGACTATCCTTGACTATAAATCTTTATAGACATGATTGATTATTTCCTTGGGATAAGTCATTAAAAGAGAAATTACTGGCTCTAAGAATATGCATAGATAGATAAATAGTTAGGTAGAATTATTATTATTATTTTTTTGGCTGTTATCTCATGACATGTCGATCTTTGTTCCCCAGCAAGGGATCAAACCCGCACCCCATGCTGTGGAAGCACAGAGTCTTAACCACTGGACTGCCAGAGAAGTCTCAAGCATGGCATATTTTTTTAATGAATTTTATACCTTTTGCCAAATTGTCTTCCAGAAAATGCTGCCAATTAACCTGTACTTTGGAAAACTGCCAGTTAACCTATACTTTGGAAATTCTGTTGAAAGTTCCCTCACTTTTTTTTTTCCACTTTTTTTTCTTAAAGCTGAGACATATGACTTAAAAAGATTGCCAGTCCAGTTCTATAAAATGAAAGTATTTTGTACATTGAAAACAACTCAAACAAATAAAAAATTTCCTACTATGCTTACTGTTACTCCTAGGCACAACTTTTATCTTTTTCTATTTGGTATTTATATTAATTACCCCTGAAAAGATAAAACATTACATATATCTATTGGTATTTGGGGGCTTCCCAGGTGGCACTAGTGGTAAAGAAGCTGCCTACCAATGCAGGAGATATAAGAGATGCATTTGATCCCTGGGAAGATCCCTTGGAGCAGGGCATGGCAATCCACTTCAGTATTCTTGCCTGGAGAATCCCCTGGACAGAGTAGTCTGGCAGGTACAGTCCATAGCGTCACAGAGTTGGACAGTCGACTAAAGTGATTTAGCACTCATACACATTGGCATTTTTATTTTGTAAATTTTCTGCTAATGCCCTTAGGCATTTATCCATTAGAATATTGTCTTATTCATTTGACTTCCTCGGTGGCTCAGTGGTAAAGAACCCACCTGCCAATGCAGGAGATGTGGGTTTGATCCCTGAGTTAGGGATCTTCCCCTGAAGGAAATGTCAACGCAATCCATATTCTTGCCTGGAAAATCCCATGGACAGAGGAGCCTGGCAGGCTACAGTCCTTGGGATCGTAAAATGGGTCAGACATGACTGAGATGTTCATTCATTTATAAAAATTGTCGTTTATTCACCTAATTCTTACGTCGCCCTAACCCTTTTCCTGTAAGTTGCAAATGCTTTACCAGTTTGTCATTTACCTCTTAACTTGGTTGTTTTTGTTTAGTCACTGAGTCAATTTCCCAGGCAAGAATACTGGAGTGTGTTGTCATTTCCTTCTCCGGGGGGGTCTTCCCCACCCAGGGATCAAACCCGCATCTCTTACATCTCCTGCATTGGCAGGCAGATTCGTTACCACTAGTGCCACCTGGGAAGCCCTTAACTTGGTTAGGAGCTAATATAAGTTTTGACTATATCATATTAGTGGTCTGCTTTGCCACCCAAATATAAAGCCTAATTCCACAATTTCATTTTGTCTTTGGGCAAGTTCTATAATTCCACCTCTACCTACGTTTCTTTTTTGGGAAATGGAGATCATAATAGTATCGGTTTCACAGAATTGTTGTAAGGAATTAAATAATGTATCTGAATAACTGAGGTCAGTGTCTGTTATACAGTAATCAATTTTAGATATGATTATTTTGTTTCTGTTGTGTACCGAAGATTTACATTTTATGTAATTGAATCTAGCAATCTTTCTTTTAAGGCTTCAGTAAATGTCTAAGCTTCAGGAAAAAAGGATAAAAGAGAACTTTCCACAGCTTTCTGTTTTCCAAAGCACAGGTAAATTGGCAAGAATTTATTTTGTATAATTGCTAATCTGTATAGGCTTAGAGAAAAGCAATCTATCTAGTAATTAATGGTACTGAATTATACACTTAAACATAATTAAAATTGTAAATTTTATATAAAAATATTTTGTATAATTTTAAAAATTGATAAAGTAATATTCTAAAACCCATTGACTTGTATTTCTAAGTGAGTGAATTATATGGTATGTGACTTTATATTTTTCAGTATTGCTACTTTCTCTAAAAGCCTAGTTGGAAAAGTAATGTCCAGTTAAAATATGGTTATTTCCATTCTCTTTCCCAATGAAGGCACTATGATGATAAGAATTGCTTTACATTTTGATTTATTCACTTGAAAAATATTTACTGAGCACCTATTATAGGCCAAGTACTGTGCCAGGCCCTGGGGCCTGGGATTCATTGGAGACCAAAACAGTCATGGAGATTATTATAGTGAAGGTATGGGGCCAGACATTAAAAAAATTCATCCAAATGAATAATTACAAACTCAAGATGTGCTTCATGGAAAAGATTACTGTATAATGGGGAAATAATTTAGACTAGGGTTTTGGAAATGCATCTTTAAGAAAGTCAAGCTAAGACTTAAAGGAAGAACAGGACTTACCCAGGAGATTTTCCCAATAAATTCCAGGACATGTTGTAGTAAATAATGAACAGCCTGTAGTGACACTACATTTTTTGGGGAAACAGCAACAACAAAAATGAACACCCTACCAATTTTCTTTTTTTTTTTTTTCCTACCAATTTTCTTAACAAGACATTTAAACCTACTCACTTCTCTGATAATTGCTGAGATACAGTCAGTGCTTCTTAGACTTTGTTGTTATTTGTTGTTTTAGTTGCTAGTGGTGTCTGACTCTTTTGCAACCCCATGGACTGTAGCCCGCCAGGCTCCTCTGTCCATGGAATTTTCCAGGCAGGAATACTGGAGTGGGTTGCCATTTCCTTCTCCAGGGGATCTTCCGCACCCAGGGATCAAACCCATGTCTCTTGCATTGGCAGGCGAGTTCTTCAGTGCTGGGCCACCTGGGAAGCCCTCTGAGACTTTACTGTACCTGTCAGTTTGCCCGAGGGTCATCTAGAATGCAGATTCTAATTCAGCAGGTCCTGGCCAGGCCTGAGATTCAGATGTGGCCCAGGCTCTCTAGCAGAGCACCACACTTACCTAAGGGAAACAGATATCTGAGTTAAGTAGATGTAGCTGCTTTCTTGAATTATTTTATGAACTCTGGTTATTTTCAGTTCAAGCAAGTTTGCTGCTGTTGGATTTCATAAAGCTCTGACTGAAGAACTGAGTGCCTTAGAAAGAACCGGAATCAAAACAACATGTCTCTGCCCTAATTTCATAAACACTGGCTTCATCAAAAACCCAGGCACCAGGTAAGTTGAGGCAAAAAATGGAGACAGAAGGATTGGTGGTTGCTATGAATATCAACCATTCTATAGGTTTTCCTAAGTATTTTTTTTTTCCTAAGTATTTTAATCCTTAAAACACCTGATATTCGAGGCCCTTAGCTCATCTCAGTTTCAGCTTCTTTAGACTGTGGGAATATATAGAGAAAGAGAGACAATGTATATAAACAGATATGAATGACACGGTGAAGTTGCTTAGCCTTCCTTTTTTCTTCCCTTAGGTGGTGGTTCTCAGACTTCAGTACATTTACCTTTCTCTAGGAGTACTGAGAACCATGCAGGGGTCCCACCTCCAGAGTTGTGCATTTCTTCATTTTGGTCAGGATAGAGTAATGGTGGGGAAGGGAGCCTGAAACTCTGTATATTTAACAAGCATCATAATTATTTCTTTTTTTATTTTTTAAAAAATATTTATGCATTTGTTTGGCTGTGCTAGATCTTATTTGTGGCACGTGGGATCTTCCTCCTTTGTTGCATCATGCCAACTCTTAGCTGTAGGATCTAGTTCCCTGATCCAGGCCCCCTGCATTGGGTATTCAGAGTCTTAGCCACTGGATCTCTAGGAAAGTCCCACATCATAAGTAATTCTGATAGAGGTGACCAGTACCACAGTGTAAAAAGAAAAAAAAGCTTTCCTTTGGTAATCTAGAGATCATCCTTCAAATAAGTTCAGTTTAATTGCTCAGTCATGTCCGACTCTTTGCAAGCCCATGGACCGCAGCACATCAGGCCTCCCTGTCCATCACCAACTCCTGGAGCTTACCCAAATTCGTGTCCAATGAGTCGGTGATGCCATCCAACCATCTCATCCTCTGTCATCCCCTTCTCCTCCCACCTTCAATCTTTCCCAGCATCAGGGTCTTTCCCAATGAGTCAGGTCTTCACATCAGGTGGCCAAAGGATTGGAGTTTCAGCTTCAACATCAGTCCTTCCAATGAATACCCAGGATTGATCTCCTTTAGGATGGACTGGTTGGATCTCTTTGCAGTCCAAGGGACTCTCAAGAGACTTCTCCAACACCACAATTCAAAAGCGTCAATTCTTCGGCGCTAAGCTTTCTTTATAGTCCAACTCTCGCATCCATACATGACTACTAGAAAAACCACAGCCTTGACTAGACAGACCTTTGTTGACAAAGTAACGGCTCTGCTTTTTAATATGCTACCTAGGTTGGTCATAACTTTTCTTCCAAGGAATAAGCGTGTTTTAATTTCACGGCTGCAGTCACCATCTGCAGTGATTTTCAAACCCCCCAAAATAAAGTCTACCGCTCTTTCCACTTTTCCCCATCTATTTGCCATGAAGTGATGGGAATGGATGCCATGATCTTAGTTTTCTGAATTTCGAGCTTTAAACCAACTTTTTCACTCTTCTCTATCGTTTTCATCAAGAGGCTCTTTAGTTCTTCTTTGCTTTCTGCCATAAGGGTAGTGTCATCTGCATATCTGAGGTTGATATTTCTCCCAGCGATCTGGATTCCAGCTTGTGCTTCATCCAGCCCAGCATTTCTCGTGATGTACTCTGCAAATAAGTTAAATAAGCAGGGTGACAATGTACAGCCTTGATGTACTCCTTTTCCTATTTGGAACCAGTCTGTTGTTCCATGTCCAGTTTTAACTGTTGCTTCCTGACCTGCATACAGGTTTCTCAAGGGGCAGGTCAGGTGGTCTGTTATTCCCATCCCTTTCAGAATTTTCCACAGTTTGTTGTGATCCACACAGTCAAAGGCTCTGGCATAGTCAATAAAGCAGAAATAGATCTTTTTCTGGAACTCTCTTGCTTTTTCGATGATCCAGCAGATGTTGGCAATTTGATCTCTGGTTCCTCTGCCTTTTCTAAAACCAGCTTGAACACCTGGAAGTTCATGGTTCACATATTGCTGAAGCCTGGCTTGGAGAATTTTAAGTATTACTTTACTAGCATGTGAGATGAGTTCAATTGTGCGGTAGTTTGAGCATTCTTTGGCATTGCCTTTCTTTGGGATTGGAATGAAAACTGATCTTTTCCAGTCCTGTGGCCACTGCTGAGTTTTCCAAATTTGGTGACATATTGAGTGCAGCACTTTCACAGCATTACCTTTCAGGATTTGAAATAGCTCAACTGGAATTCCATCACCTCCACTAGCTTTGTTCATAGTGATGCTTCCCAAGGCCCACTTGCCTTCACATTCCAGGATGTCTGGCTCTAGGTGAGTGATCACACCACTGTGATTATCTGGGTCATGAAGATCTTTTTTGTACAGGTCTATGTATTCTTGCCACCTCTTCTTAATATCTTCTGCTTCTATTAGGTCCATACCACTTCTGTCCTTTATCGAACCCATCTTTGCATGAAATGTTCCCTTGATATCTAAGTTTCTTGAAAAGATGTCTAATCTTTCCTATTCTATTGTTTTCCTCTATTTCTTCGCAGTGATCGCCGAGCAAGGCTTTCTTATCTCTCCTTGCTATTCTTTGGAACTCTGCATTCAAATGAGTATATCTTTCCTTTTCTCCTTTGCTTTTTGCTTCTCTTCTTTTCACAGCTATTTGTAAGGCCTCCTCAGACAGCCATTTTGCTTTTTTGCATTTCTTTTTCTTGGGGATGGTCTTGATCCCTGTCTCCTCTACGGTGTCACAAACCTCCGTCCACAGTCCACTCTGTCTATCAGATCTAGTCTCTTAAATCTATTTCTCACTTCCACCGTATAATTGTAAGGGATTTGGTTTAGGTCATACCTGAATGGTCTAGTGGTTTTCCCTACTCTCTTCAATTTAAGTCTGAATTTGGCAATAAGCAGTTCATGATCTGAGCCCCAGTCAGCTCCTGGTCTTTTGCTGACTGTATAGAGCTTCTCCATCTTTAGCTGCAAAGAATATAATCAATCTGATTTCGGTGTTGGCCATCTGGTGATGTCTGTGTGTAGAGTCTTCTCTTGTGTTGTTGGAAGAGGGTGTTTGCTATGACCAGTGCGTTCTCTTGGCAAAACTCTACTAGCCTTTGCCCTGCTTCATTCTGTACTCCAAGGCCAAATTTGTCTGTTACTCCAGGTGTTTCTTTTTTTTTTCTTCTCCCCAGGTGTTTCTTGACTTCCTACTTTTTCATTCCAGTCCCCTATAAAGAAAAGGACATCTTTTTTGGGTGTTAGTTCTAAAAGGTCTGGAAGGCTCCCCTGGTAGCTCAGACCATTAAGTGTCTGCCTGCAATGCGGGAGACCCGGGTTCGATTCCTGGGTCAGGAAGATTCCCTGGAGAAGGAAATGGCAACCCACTCCAGTGTTCTTGCCTGGACAATTCCATGGATGGATGAGCCTGGTGGGTTCCAGTCCATGGGGTTGCAAAGAGTTGGACACAACTGAGCGACTTCACTTTCTAAAAGGTCTTGTAGGTCTTCAGAGAACTGTTCAACTTCAGCTTGTTCAGCATTACTGGTCAGGGCATAGACTTGGATTACTGTGATATTGAATGGTTTGCCTTGAAAAGAAACAGAGATCATTCTATCGTTTTTGAGATTGCATCCAAGTTTTGCATTTCGGACTCTTTTGTTGACCGTGATGGCAACTCAATTTCTTCCAAGGGACTCTTGCCCACAGTATCAGATATAATGGTCATCTGAGTTAAATTCACCCATTCCAGTCCATTTCAGTTTGCTGATTCCTAAAATGTCGACGTTCACACTTGCCATCTCCTGTTTGACCACTTTCAAATTGCCTTGATTCATGGACCTAACATTCCAGGTTCCTATGCAGTATTGCTCTTTACAGCATCGTACCTTGCTTCTATCACCATCACCTCCATAACTGGGTGTTGTTTTTGCTTTGGCTCCGTCTCTTCATTCTTTCTGGAATTATTTCTCCACTGATCTCCAGTAGCATATTGGGCACCTACTGACCTGGGGAGTTCATCTTTCAGTGTCCTCTCTTTTTGCCTTTTCATACTGTTCATGGGCTTCTCAAGGCAAGAATACTGAAGTGGTTTGCCATTCCCTTCTCCAGTGGACCACATTTTGTCAGACCTCTCCACCATGACCCGTCCGTCTCGGGTGGCCCTATGGTCAATGTGATTAGATTGGTTAGATTTCTGTGATTGTGGTTTCAGTGTTTCTGCCCTCTGATGCCCTCTCTCAGCACCTACTGTCCTACTGGGGTTTCTCTTACCTTGGACGTGGGGTATCTCTTCAAGGCTACTCCAGCAAAGTGCAGCTGCTGCTCCTTACCTTGGACGTGGGGTATCTCCTCACGGCTGCCCCTCCTGACCTTGGATGTGGGGTATCTCCTTTCGGCCGCTCCAGTGCGACACAAAATTAGTAACAGATCAGAATCTTTTCTTGGTTAGAAAATAAAATTACAAAGGATTGGCACTGAGGTTAATTTTTAATGTTTCCTGTCTTTGAGAATAGCTTTAATATTTTTGTAAACATGATGGGTACCTTAAAAAAAATTCCAAGATACAGAAAAATACAAATAAATTTTTTTTCCATTTCATTTAAACCCTCTATCCAGTGGAGACTATTTTTAACATTTTGAAGAACACTCTTTTGGACATCTCTTTGAAAATGAGAGTGATAGTAACTCAGTCATGTCTGACTCTGTGATCCCATGGACTGTAGCCCACCAGGCTTCTTTGTCCATGGGATTCTCCAGGCAAGAATACTAGAGTGGGTTGCCATTTCCTTCTCTAGGGGATCTTTCTGACACAGGGATTGAACTCAGGTCTTCTGCATTGTAAGCAGATTCTTTGCCATCTGAGCCACTAGGGAAGCACAGACATCTCTTTTTGTACAGATTAAATGTCTAAGTTTCATATAACTGGCATATATTACACATGAGATTCTAGAAGCAGTAAGTAAACTGCTTGTTCCCCCAGCATTATGATTATAGACGACAAGGTATTAGTGTTGTTTAACCACTGATTCGTGTCCAACTCTTTGCGACCCCATGGACTGTAGCCTGCCAGGCTCCTTTGACTATGGGATTCTCCAAGCAAGAA